ACATAACTTTGATATTCAGGCAATGCACCCCAACCATACCATTCAGCATCAGCAAAGACTTTTCCTATCTGCCCCCAGCTACCAATCTGACACAAAACTCTTCCTCTGGAAGTGGCGAAGGGTAATATCTCTGTTTTTTCCTTTACTCAATGGGCAGCAGGAAGGAAATTGTTTCTCCTTCCTGTAATGCAGCAAGGCAATTCAAGTCATTATTTCTGCCTCCACACTGTGTGCTGGGCCCAGAAATAAATCCAGTCTCAGGTGCATCCAAAAAGCTCTTGGTGAATGGGGCAGTGGCAAAGGGCTGCATGAAGGGGTGCTGATTTGTACAGTGCCTGCTGTGGTACACAGTGGTTGCTGTAGCACAGCATGTTTCACTGGCAGAGGGTGCACAAGGAAATATGTGTGCGAAAGATTTAGAGCCTAATTGCTGCTATTTGTTGTCTTGTTTTATAACCTGCATTTAGTCTCCAGATCGCTTTTAACAGGCAATTTGGCATGAAAGTTGAGGCACATGATTATTTAAAGCAGTTATAGAAAATATGGCTACGGCATATACAGAAGAATCAGAAGAATGAGGAAAGCAAGTAAAAGAGAGGAGGAGGTATTTAGAAATTAATCTAATGGATGGCAGAAATAACATGTTACTCACTGGAGCGGGAAAGTGAAACTGCTCCAGTGGAAATTAAAGTTCATGTAAATGTATTTAGAAAATGCTGTGGAGTCTGAGAGATCAGGTTATACACTTTGTGATGTTTATTAATGGCCTTGTAGACAAGGCCCTGTTGCTAGCTCTGAAGGTCATCACACCACCAGTAGCACCCCAGAACTAGGGAATAAAATGAAGTCTTTATTTACTCACAGTAAATTGCCTGCCGTGCCACGGTTGTCTGCAGTGCCACCATGTGTAGGTAAGACTGAAATCTGATCAGATACCAACTGTTTCAAATGTCAGAGGAAAAACAAAATACAAGCTTCCATGGTTAAAACTGGAAGGGACAGAGGATTCCCTTCATGTCATAGCAATGCCATATTTTGATGCCACGGATGCTAAAGGAAACTTGAGCTGATTCTGACTGAGCTGATACAGAGTATGGCCCATGCAGAGATGTTAATTGGCACCCAAAGACAGGAAAGTGATGATAGTGTGGAGCTGCCACCCCACTCATTTGCTTGTGCCAGTGCAGTAGTTCGGCATTAATTTGTTCAGAGTTTGGGGATTTTTACACTATGTGGTACTAACAAGGGAAATATGTTCAGTGATGTTCCTTTCAAAATGTCTGATTGACAGTGGGAACCAAATAAATTATTTCTGGATGCAACCACTCGAACAAGCATGAACAGTAAATAAAGATGGACAGAAACCTTTTCTACCAGAAAATGCTAATATGGCAAAATTTGTATTATTTGAAGATGTCATTTTTTAAAGAGAAGCTCCAAAACACTCATTAATAATATTTTATAATAGCAAAACATCAAGTGCAAGGGTTCCAGTTCCAGATTTTCCCAAACTTTCTGTTTAAGAGTGATTATGTGGATTGAATGGAAAATAAACCTGAACTTTCAGGACTCTTCAGAGAGGCTGGTTACTCCTCTGGTCTAACAAAAAAACCTGATAATAATGACTTTACTAACTGTTTGTAGATGATTAACAAATGTACTGGTAGTATAGTAAATACGCCGCAGAATGCATCTCTTTAAGAAAATAGCTACACACCTCTTTAAATTCTTAGGAAGCGTTAAATACAAACTGCAGTGCATCTGTAGATAGCAGGTGAAGAGTCAGATCTGAACTCTTGGCAAGATAAAGAAACATCCTACACTTATCGCAGTGGTATCTGTGTACTTTGAATACTTCATTAAGTCCATCCTTGGTTGAATAGCTACATGCTTGGAGTCAAAATGGTAGCTACCTTCTTAATGTGTGCTTATCTCTGTAACATTCTGTACTGCTCGTAAATGTGGTCCTTGGTGCTGAGATGTGTCTCTGTGAAAAACATTACAAAACTTCCCCTTTTTGAAAGTAGCCTTCTCTGAAAGGAGAGAGAAGCTGAGGCTGAGGCAGAACCTCTTGGCATGGCCACTGTTTTTCAGAGTGGGTATTAAAGGTGCTGTCTGAATCCTTTGTAAAAAGGCAGGTGACATGGTTTAACACCATTTGTAATTTGAGGCCTTTATATGCTTCTGGTTTTGCACCTTCTGTAGCTGCTCATTAAGTCACTGGCACATAGAGGAAAAGTTCAGGGGTTTCTGAAGCTGCAAATGACAGAAAAATATTAAGAGAATTGCAGCAACCTTTATATCTAGATTAGTTTAATAGGTGGATTTTCCTGTTAGAAACTTAGAGAAGATTACAGTAGCTGAGGTACTGAAGGTAAAATAAGATCCAAATCAAAAGAGGGGATACCCAGATTTTCATACATCAGGTGGTGTAGAGCAAGTTGGCAGGCATTGCACTTGAAAGCTTATACTGAGAAAAATCAGCTGAGAAAACCTTTATATACCTTCAGACTTACAGCTATTCATCTAAATCACAGGACTCCAGATATCTTAGATACTATTAACAACCATTAAGTGTTGGACATCAGACTGTGATCTACAATCTTGCTAGTTTCTAAAGAGAGCAAAAAACACCTCAAAAACAAATGAAGATTTTGTTGAAGTTTAAAAACATTAGTGCACATAATTTTTGATTTGGGCAAGGAAGAAGGTTTGTCCTGACTCATTGTGAATAATTTTTTCTCTACTTTCTCCATGTAGCAGCCATGAACTGGAAAACCAGTCTTTACCAGAACTTTATCTTGACCCATTTTCCCATGCTGGCAAGCTGGAGACACAGCTGTCATGGGTATAAATGTTCATGCCTGCTGAAGAGTTTCTCTTTGACAGGTGGTTTGAGTGCAGTAGAGGTTTTGCACTGTCTAACAGCCACAAAAGGCTGAGCAATGATTTCAGTTCTTTTTACTGGATTGTATTCCTGGGAATTCATGGATCCTTCTACAACGTAAGAAAGCAGACACAAATCCTAGATGTATTGGCTAGCCCTAGATGTTGAGGCCATTTGGGTGGCACATTTCCATTTCAAGTAACTGGTCACTACTGTATGTTTCATGACATGGTGGTGGGTTGTTACTTGTTAGTTTGTTTTTCACTTTCATATAATACACATGAGTTTGACCTAGATGTAGCAATCTCTACTATTAGTTTCTTTAGGCAGGATATATGCTCTTCTACAAAATGGGTTCTCTCCCTTCTTAAAGGAGCAGTGATACATGAGCTTTGAGGAGCAGTGTGACTGAAGGCAGTGATACGTGAGCTTTGAGTATTTCATGGTGGAGGCCACATTTATTCTGAAACTGTTTTTCCTCCTAGGCTGTTGGCTGTGATTATGAGATAAATTCCAATGCAACTGAAGACCAGTGTGGAGTTTGCCTGGGAGACGGCTCTGCTTGTCATACAGTGAAGATGATGTTTAATCAAACTGAAGGATTTGGTAAAATGGGCTCTTCTTTTATACTCTTCAGTTGGTGAAGTCGTTTCTCTATATAAAAAGGATTAAGTACTTCTCACTGCAAACTGAGTGATCGATTTGCTTATGAAATTGTAAATGGATGTTTCACAGTGAATGATGCTTCTGCCAGAAAAGATCTGTGGTCTGTGCTTTTTAAGTTCACCTTGTATAATAAAAATTATGTCAGAGACTAACAGGCCATACGCACTTAACACAGATAATAATAAAACCCAAAATAGTAAGTGTAATTACAAAATCAATGTAATTTACCACTTGGAAAATGGACCAAATCTCTGGACAGTGTAGTGTACCAAGAAAATGCTGGGATAAGTGGTGTGAGGATTCCATTTCTAATTATTTTAAGTCTGATACCACTTGCTATAGTGACCATGCACCACCTCTTCCTCATGCAGAACTTTGCACTTCTGGTTGCTCTAAATTTTCCTGTGGGATGCCTCTGGCTTGAAAAGTAAATCCTTGCAGGGTTAACATGGTCTGAATCAGTACTTGAAGGACTGAGCCTTTCTTTGATGACAGTAGTGAGACATTCAGCCTTTTAATTACCTTGTGTGGGATGAGTGGGAGCTGGAGAGTTGAGAGAGTGGGAGACTAAAACTGAATGAGAACCATGGCGGTGAGCTGAAGAGACAGCAGGATAAGCAGCTTTGCATGCAAAATGAGGACAGGAGGGGAAGATGCGAGAAGACTGGGCGCAGGAGAGTGTGTTTAGAGCAAGGTCTGTGGCTGAAGAAAGAGGCTGGTGCAGAGATGGGAAGTCTCAAGAGCAGTGGTTGGTATCACGCTAGTAAGGAGGGACAAATAGCAGTGAGGTTTTGGCTTTGAATTTCTGTTGGTTTTTTTTTTAAAAAAAAATAATTCTGATATGCACAAATATGACCTGTGCTAATAATTTAGAGCTGATAAGATTTGGTAAGGTTTTCCAAAGATTGGGGAAAAGCACTTAAAATATTTCATGTTTTTTTCTGTACTGTGTACTTGGATTTGCTCTCCTCTGCTTTGTAGCCCACAGGTGAACTGTGAAAATGGCCTGCAACTGTGCAGCAGCACAGGTTGTATATATGTGTGAGGCTTACAAAGGAAAATAGAGCTCCCTCTCCTCCAGTACTACGGTCACCCTCCAGTACTACAGAAGTACTTTAGAGTACTTCTGCTGCTCTAAATTTCACTCTGCCTTTGGCAGTGTGTGGGTTTACCAAGGCTGCAGATGATGTGAGGTTTATTTTCAAACAACAATTTTCCTAAAAAGTAACACATGGAAGGATAAGTGCCTCTTACTTTATTTAAATTCATTTTGTGTTTTATCTTCACTTAGTTTTTCCTTGCCCCAAGTTTCAATAAGCCTCACTGACACATACCGCTAAGGGATACTGAATGTTAAATAAAATTATTTCACTGCCTTTTTTAGAGTCAGTAAAGAATTGATTGAATTTGCAGATTCTTTCCCTTTCTACAGACATTAACTCCATTGCTGAGGAAATAAGGAAAAGTGTCAGGAAAGACAGAAGCTGGTGGGCTTTTCAGCTTGTAAGATGATAACATGCGGATCTTGTTGATGTTCACAGGTGTTAAATTGAGAAAAGGAAATGGTTTTGTTCACAATGTCTGGCTTTTTGTGCCTGATAGGTACTGTGCTGTTCTGCCTTGCAGTACAGATCTATGGCAGAATGGGTACTGAACAGTTTATATATATGTGAAGATTTGATAAGGTTTTCCAAAGATTGGGGAAAAACACTTAAAATATTTCAGGGTTTTTTCTGTACTGTTGTCCTGGGTTCAGCTACAGCAG